GACAGAAATTCCGGGATTTCTATTTTTGAACCGATTTTATCGGATTTAAATTGTGGAAAATCCCCTTTTTATCCTCCCTGCCCTCGGTAAAGTGATTTTTCAATAATATCGCAACACGGGAAATGAAGATTTCGGAATTCCAGCTGGGAATTCCAGCCCTGGGAAAGAGGAGGGGTCGGGATTTTGTCACATCCCGCCCTTTCCATCCCTAAAAATCCCCCCCGGGGTGAGCCGGGAATGATCCCGAATTCCCGGAGATTCGCTGGAGTCTGTCCCCCTCTGCCGGCCGAGAATTCCCGAGAGCCAAAACATTCCCAGGAAAAAGTGGGGAGAGAGGCTGAGAGGCAGAAATAGAAATAAAAATGAAAAAATAATATTAAAAAAAAAATAATAATTACAAGAATAGGAATAATAAAAATTAAAAATAACAATTTAATAATAGAACAGAAATAGAAATAGAAAAGCCAATCAAAAACCCCGCCGGGAGAAAATTCCTTGGAAAAGGACGAAGGAAAATCGTTTTTTATCTCAGAGGTCGATGAGGGATAAAATTCCCCCGCATCCCTGAATTCCTGCCAAGGTGAAAAGCTCCGGAATTACCTGGGAAAGGCTCATTTGTCTCCCCCTGGCAGTGATGGAATGACGGCGAAATTCCATTTGCGGCTCACCCCGGGCAAGGCTGAAGGAGCCTCGGCTGGGTGACAGAGCCGGAAAATTCGGGAAAAATGGGATTATCCTTGGAATTCAGAGGTGCCAGCGCAGCTCCTGGCTGGGTTTGACGTCCCTCATGGATTTGGGGATGGAAAAAGTCAGTTTTTTAGGGATAAAAAGCCCAATTTGCGGATAAAGTTCCCAATTTGCGGATGAAATCCTGGTTTTTTTGCTCAGCAATTTGGGCTCAGGTGTCTCCAGCCGGGACACGGGAGCGCTCCCCAGGCCCCAGAGCTGATCCAGGCGGGAATTGCCGATCCCGGGATCCCGGGGGGAGGCTCCGGCCCCGCTCCCGGGCTCCTTTTCCCGAGGATTTTCCCGAGGATTTTCCCGGGATTTGGAGCCGGGACCGGCGCGGACCCAACGCGGCCGGACCGGGCCAGCCGGGGTCACGCCCCCTCATTAGCATACTGCGTTCTGATTGGGTCACGGAGCCACAGGGCGACCGCTGATTGGATAAAACAAAGGGGAAACGTTGCTACGGCAACCAGGGACGCTCTGGGACGGGCGTGGCTCACGTCACCCTGCAGCCAATCACAGCGCGATAATTTGAATATTCATGAGGGGCGGGGCCCCGACCAGGGATTTTGGGGGTACCTGGTCGGAATTTGGGGGTTTCCAAGCAGGACTTTAATTAATTAAATTAAATTAAAATTATAGCATAAACTAAATTAAATAATAGAATAGACTAGAATAAAATAACATAGAATCAAATAAAATAGAGTAAAATATAAAATAAAATAAAATAAAATAAAATAAAATAAAATAAAATAAAATAAAATAAAATAAAATAAAATAAAATAAAATAAAATAAAATAAAATAAAATAAACATCTCTGTTTCCTGCAAGGATCAGCCCAGCCCCTCTCCCCAACCCCCCCCAGGTTCGGGATCAGCTTTTTCCCAACAAAATCCCTTTTTCGGGAAGGGCTGTCAGCCCCTGATGGCTCTTTTGGGGCCAGAATTCCCAGGAATTAAAATTCCATCTGTTCCCTCAGATGTGCGGCAGAACCAGCCAGCAGCTGCTCCCCAAATATTACAAATAATACAAACACGATTTAAAAACGGATTAAATTCAGTGCGCGGCGGAGAAAAATGGGAAGTTTTTATTGAATAAAGCCGAATTTAGGGGAAAAAAATTGGGAATGTCCAGGGGGAGGGAGGGCTGAGCCTTTCCCATTGTCCCTGCCCGTGACAGGTGGCGTTTGGAAGCCGCGGAATTCCCATGGGAATTGGGGCCATAAAGCCCCGGCAATATTCCAGGCTCATCCCAGAGCCCCGGGGCTGGAATTACCGGGAGCAGCTGCGGCCTCCAGCCGGAGAATTCCCGATGGATCCGGGCGAGGAGCCCCGCCCGCCTCTGCAGGCCGGGAAAACCTCGGGAAGGGTCAGAGGGAGGGAAAGCTCGGGAAGGGAGCCTGGAGCCATCCAGCCCCTCTGGATCCATCTGGATCGGGTCGGGATGGAGCTGGGATGGATTTGGGGCCGGGATGGCCCTGGGGACACAGCCCGGGATCATTCCTGGGATTATTCCCACCGGGAACTGCGGCTCTCCGGGATCATTCCCGGGATCACTCCCGCCGGGAATTGTCGCTTCCCGGGATCATTCCCGGCCCTGCCATTCCTGCCGGGAATTGCCGCTCATTCCCGGGATCATTCCCACCGGGAATTGCGGCTCTCCAGCCCTGGGGACAATTCCCGGGCTCATTCCCGGCCCTGACATTCCCGCCGGGAATTGTCGCTTCCCAGGATCATTCCTGGGCTCATTCCCGCCGGGAATTGCAGCTCATTCCCCGGATCATTCCCGGGATCATTCCCGGGCTCATTCCAACCGGGAATTGTCGCTTCCCGGGATCATTTCCGGCCCTGCCATTCCTGCCGGGAATTGCCGCTCATTCCCGGGCCCATTCCCACCGGGAATTGCGGCTCTCCAGGATCATTCCCTGGATCATTCCCGGTATCATTCCCACCGGGAATTGCGGCTCTCCATCCCGGCTGGTTCCCGGCGCTCCCGCCCCGCAGCTGCTCCCCATTCCCGGCTGTTCCCAGACCCCCATTCCCATTCCCGGCTGTTCCCAGACCCCCATTCCCATTCCCGGCTGTTCCCAGACCCCCATCCCCATTCCCGGCTGTTCCCAGACCCCCATTCCCGGCTGTTCCCAGACCCCCATTCCCGGCTGTTCCCAGTCCCCCATTCCCATTCCCAGATGTTTCTCCCGGGCCGATCCCAGCAATGCCGGCCCCTGGCGGCTCCAGAGGGGGAATTGTGATGGAAATGAGGGAAGAGCACTGGAAGGGCTCCCGGGATCCCATAAATAACCCTGGACAATGCTGTTATTTATGGGATATCCGGGATCCCCAGGGATCCCTCCCGTCATGCTGGGAATAAATGAGACAGGAGGTGGAGCCCCTTTTATCTCTTCAGATCCCCCTTTATCCCCCTCAGATCCCCCTTTATCCCCTCAGATCCCCCTTTATCCCCCTCAGATCCCCCTTTATCCCC